CACAGGTTGTCACAATGTCACCATAGGTTCCTATAAAGTCCCCACAGAATATACTAGTGTAGTCATGGGTTGTATTAGCGCCTATCCGTGTTATGATAGTATCACAATATAGGTTAAAGCAGCATCAATATTGAGTTACTAAAGTGTTACGGGGAACGGAGTGGTCTAGCTGTAGAGAGCTGGACTGCTAACCCGCAAATCTCGAGTTCAAATCCGGGTTCAAGTTAGTAGACCGTCCCTGAGTCCACCCAACTCTGATGGGTACCTAACTCACGTTAGGGAAAGTAAAGGCGGCTGGGCATAGTGCCGACCACACTATCTCTTCATATGCCAAGGTCACAGAAACAGGTGAACTCTACTTCACTTTCCCCGTAGACCGTCAAGTTTGAAAGGGAAAGTTTACTTTTTACTTTTTAAAGTGTTACAGATGTTTGTAATGATGTCACCACATACTGTTGTCATGTCACCACTGACTGTACATACATCTGCAATAATTTCATTTCTACGACAATATCGCCCATGGTTTTACTACAAGTGTCACTACGATTTAAATATTTTCTTTAATTTAGTGTGTAGTTTTTTTTCTCGGTGTGTAGTGCAGGGTGTGTAGTTTTCAGCGTAAGTTGTGAATCTGCATGACCACATGGTACACACCACAGAACACGCTTTGGGTGTGTACAACAGCGCCACGTCACCCACTGTACCAACGGACTTCTCTTCCACGCCCTGTCTCAATGGACATGCCATTTACCACAATTAGCCTTACCCTACAACCTATTGTTTTTACCATCTCACAGCTTATAATAACCAAATTTTCCATCCCCCCCCCCCGGAAGAAATGAAATAATGTTATCTTTATATCCTTATCGGTTGCTATGGTAACGTCGTTGACGTCAGCACACAAGTTGAGCTATCTTTAGGTTCAATGACTAAAGTCTGAACACGAATCGCATGCTCATTTAAGGATGTGTACGGTAATTGTGTTGTGTGTGTGTGTGTGTGTGCTGTAACGGTGTTGTGTGTGTGTGCGGTTGTGTATGTGATGTAATGGTGTTGTGTGTGTGCTGTAATTGTGTTGTGTGTGTGCGGTAATAGTGTTGTGTGTGTGCTGTAATAATGTTGTGTGTGTGCTGTAATTGTGTTGTGTGTGTGCGGTAATGGTGTTGTGTGTGTGCTGTAATTGTGTTGTGTGTGTGTTTGTGTTGTAATTGTGTTGTGTGTGTGCGGTAATAGTGATGTGTGTGTGTGCTGTAATAATGTTGTGTGTGTTTGTGTTGTAATTGTGTTGTGTGTGTGTGCGGTAATGGTGTTGTGTGATTGGATGTGGGGTGTGTGGGTGGTGTCACAGAGATATCTTTAAAGTAGAGCTGGTTCATACTTTTTACTCTATTCAAATCTATTTATTCTACTCCATTAAAAAATAGAACTTGCTTCAAACACCATAACTCACGTGTAATATTGTGAAATATTTACTTCATTGTATGTTTGACATTTACCTTTAAAGTGTAGATAAAGCAGAGGGCTATGAGTATTTCAATAAACTAAGCACAAAATTAAGTAAGTTCAAGTAAAAGTGTGGTATGAAAAGAATCCTAACACTAATAACTTTAGAACGAACCAGCTATCCTTTTCACCCAGTTATCCTTAAAGCGACCCAGTTATACTTAAAACGACCCATTTATACTTAAAACGACCAAGTTATCCTTAAAACGACCCAGTTATCCTTAAAACGACCAAGGTATCCATAAAACGAACCAGTTATCCTTTAAACGACCCAGTTATCCATAAAACGACCCAGTTATCCATAAAACGACCCAGTTATCCATAAAACGACACAGTTATCCTTAAAACCACTCGTCTATCATTAAAATGCCACCTACATTTATTTGATCACTACTGGAAGTGGTAGCTGTCGACTCCTACAGCCCATTACTTGCCGTCTTATCGCAATAGACCTCACACGTCAACTAAATCTTGTGGAGAGTGGTAGGACTAAGATTAAGATAATCTCCGTTAAGGATTTTGTAAAACTAAAAGGATTGAAGTAGGGCGTATTTTTAAAGTTGTATTGAGTTTAAAACAATGACGTGCCCTCCAGTGCTATAGATTACCGCAACATTAATTGGTTAATTAGTTCGTTAATTCGTAAGTTTACCATTTCCATCAACACAGAAACTATCCATTTTTACTTTGTCATATACAAAGTAGGCCTATAAAGAATGTATTGTAATCGTGCAAAAAATCTTTAGATTTTCCCTTATTGAATTTTTCAACAACGCGTCATAATCCATTTTTTAAAACAAATCTTTAAGAAAATAATTTATAAGTGATGTTTGAAGAAATTAGAACTTTTTATATGTAAACTTTTCGTAGTAACACTGGCTAAAAACTGACAAGTGAAGCAACTACCAAATCACATTCTATTTGCGTTTGTGATAGAATATCATCTTAGAAAACAATCACTTGTAATAAGTTTTGTTTTTGAAGTATTATTTAATTTATAGAAAAATGCTTGCTTAGCAAGGAAAATATTCAGTTGAAGTATACACAGTGGCGTAGCGAGGTCGGGTGTCACCCGGTGCGGCACTTAATGGTGTCACCCCCCCCCCCCCAGAGGCATAGAGACCCTTCCCAGGGACAAACTTTCAAATTTTCGATTTGCACCCCCCCCTCAAACTTTCGATTTGCACCCCCCCTCGAGTTTTTCTCTATATATTTTGCTATTTTTTGCCTTGGTGTCACCCCCCTAAATGGTGTCACCCGGTGCGGTCCGCACCCCCCGCCCCCCCCCTCGCTACGCCCCTGAGTATACATTTTATCACAGCTGCTTAACAATATAATTTATTCCACGCTGTTAAAATCACCAACATTGTTACAATGTATAGAACATCGTGTGAAAAAAATATGATAGAACTTTTGATGATTGTTGTGCGTAAAATAGTGCAGAGAATCTAACCTTGCCTAAAAGGTTTGAAGTGCTGGTTCCAAATGGTTATTGTCGAAATTGAATATTTTATAACATTTGAGAAATAAGAACAAAATGACTTCCCGGTTTTTACTAAAGATAGAAATATTCAAACAAATAATATCACGGAAAACATCGTTGTAGTGTTTTTCATTGTTTTACTTTGCCTGGCCGCAGTAGCGTAGCGAGGGGAGAGGGGGGAGGGTGGCGGGGGGGGGGACATATGTCCCCGGGCGCCGACCTTAGGGGGCGCCAAAATTGGTTGGAAAAATAAATTGAAAGGTTGAGGGGGGTGGAAATCGAAAGTCTGAGGGGGGCGGGGGTGCAAATCAAAATCTTGAGGGGGGGGGGTGCAAATCGAAATCTTGAGGGGGGTGCAAATCGAAAAGTTTGTCCCCGGGCGCCGGGAAGGGTCGCTACGCCTCTGCCTGGCCGCTCCAGTTGACTTCAAAGAGGGTTTAAGGGAGGTTTTAAAAATATTTGAATTGATAAAATTATTTTATACGGCTTTTCAACGGCTTGTATTCCATACAAAAAATGAAAATGAGGGTAATCGATGGTTACCGACGGCTTTAATTTTTTTAAAAATGTAACTATAATGTTATCGCTTGCAAAAATTATTTTTGTTTAAATATTAAAAAAAAGTATGATTACACAGACACTTCAAGCCTATTCCTATTGTAGCTGCTTTCATAGTTATCTCAATTAGTTACACATAACTAACCCAGAAGCTCAAATGTTTATACACTTAACAACATGGGACATATTTAACTTCCCTCTGGTTTAACAAGATGGGATATCCTTAGCCTCCCTCACAAATTTACTAAGAATTTTTCCTCTGAAAGTCAAGAGCTCCTCGCACCACGCCCCTCCCGGCCCCCGGACGTGCTGAACAAACGGCACCGTCCCGATGAGCGCCGAACACGGGACGGTGCCGATGCTGCTAGCGTTCCTCCGCACCTCCCCCGTGTGGTTGTAGTTCCCGGTGTAGCAGTTGTCGATGTTGTAGTTGGCTTGTAGAACCCTCAGCGGGTCCTTGGGTGAGGGGTACAGGCCACCGAGTAGAGGGCGCTCTGTTAATGGGAAGATAATGCTTTTTGGGTACGGCAGCTGGGAGGGTAGAGTTACGTCCCATATTGTTTTGGTGGTTTCGTTGTAGAAGCTGACGTCTAGAAAAGGTGATTTCCAATGGTGTTTTTTGATGGGGTTGCCTTCCTTGTGGTAGACTTTATACCTAATAAAGAAAACTTTATATACAAATTATATATAAAATAAATAATATAATATATATAATATACTGTTATATATGATACATATGATAACTGATACGTGATACATGATATATGATATATGATGTATGATATTGTATAATACATGATACATGATACATTACACATGATACATGATAGGTGCAGGGTGTATGATGTATGGTGCATAGTGATCTTCCTTTGTCCATCATCCATCATTCATCATCTGTCATCCGTCATCCGTCATCCATCATCCATCATCCATCACCCATCACACATCATCCATCCTCCATCCTCCATCCTCCATCCTCCATCCTCCATCCTCCATCATCCTTCATCCATCATCCATCATCCATCATCCATCATCCATCATCCATCATCCATCATCCTTCATCCATCATCCATCATCCATCATCCATCATCCATCATCCATCATCCATCATCCATCATCCATCATCCATCATCCATCATCCATCATCCATCATCCATCATCCATCATCCATCATCCATCATCCATCATCCATCATCCATCATCCGTCATCCGTTATCCGTCATCCATCATCCATCATCCATCAACCATCGTCCATTTTCCATCATCCATCATCCATCACTCGTCATTCGTCATCCGTCATCCATCATCCATTCATCAATCATCCTTCATCCATCATCCATTCATCAATCATCCATCATCCATCATCCATTCATCAATCATCCATCATCCATCATTGTTTTCCTCTATGTTAGTTACCTCATTGTCGAAGTATCGATGTTGTAGATAGTTTGGTTCATGAAGACAAGTTTTAGCCTTTCCTTGTCAGTGATGGACACTAAAATATCAAGGTCATCATCCCAGGGGATGATACCGTGATGTCTGTAAGAGCCAAGTAGTGACCCCTAGGAAATATAACAACTCGGTAATTTTTAATACACAAATCCTAGAATTAAGGCAATAAATTCTTGTGTAAGTATACAAAAGTATACTTTAAAACAAAACTGAAACGCCAAAGCACAACACAAAACTATAATAAAGTACTTTGAACTTTAAACAACACAAAAATCTAAATAACTAATTCATATAATATTCCGGATCGAAAATGTACAACGAGCTATTTAATAATTAACAATTTGTCTTATAATTATACGAAAACATACAACACGATATGTAATAATTAACATTTTGTCTTATATTTATACGAAAACATACAACAAGATATTTAATAATTAACAATTTGTCTTATAATTATACGAAAACGTACAACAAGATATTTAATAATTAACAATTTGTCTTATAATTATACGAAAACGTACAACAAGATATTTAATAATTAACAATTTGTCTTATAATTATACGAAAACGTACAACAAGATATTTAATAATTAACAATTTGTCTTATAATTATACGAAAACATACAACACGATATGTAATAATTAACAATTTGTCTTATAATTATATTACAGCACGACTGACCTTATACAGGAAGTATGTTACTGAAGCATTTTTCATAATTCTATCAAAATTAAACAATAATTCGGTGATCATAGATACATCTTTTTTTGAAAGGGTTTGCCCAAACAGATCTGAAAAATATGTTACTTATTCATAAACCTGAAAAATGTTAAAAATATGATTTATAACAAAATATTTATTTACCGTCTAGGCATTTATTTTGCGATTTATTAAAATAGATTCTAAGTATGTTACAATTCATAATATAACATTTCACAAGGGCAGTAGCAAATATCAAATCTTTAAAATTTGATAAAATATATAACTAAAAGCTACCGCCTATCATCTCAACAATAATTTCAACTACAAAATGGACAGTAAACTTGTTGGAAGCGGAATTAAAGGTGCGTCTAATTATATAAAAAAAATTTTTACTTTAAATTTAAAAAAAAAATAACATTCGGGATTATTAAACAATATTAGTGATGGGTAATGATAGGTAAAAATACTTTCAAATAAATGTCAGAATAAAGACATTAAAGTTAAAAAAAAACATTCTTTACGTTTGAAATTATTATATTCAAACAATGTACCAAGTTAGTGGCAACTCACGTGACTTGTCAGGTGGGACCGTGGGCAGTGGCGCCAGATGAGAGAGGTCTGGGACTGGAGTGACCTTCAGGTGAGACAACAGGTTGAAGGGATGCAGGTCTGTGGTCAAGATGACCAGAGCGGTGACCAGGCCGAAGAACACAACGACGAGGTAAAAGAGTTGACGGCTGGAGATGATCTGATGCAGTGATCTTGGGATCTGGGGAAAAGTGTAAAAAATGATAGGCTAGTGAATGAATGTAGTGTGATTGATGAGTGAATGTTGTGTGATTGGTTATTGATTGGTTTGTGAATGTTGAGTGATTGTTCAGTCGTATTATGGCAAGATAAATGTGTAAGTGGTTTAGGCCAATATATTATTTGAAGAGGTTTATGAATGCTATTAAACGAATTTATATAATGCCTAAAATATAAGTGTACCCAATTATGTTCTGACTTCTTCCCTATATTTCATTTATTTATTAATACATTAATGTTTCAGTCTTTGTTTGTTCTGTTTCTTCTCATGCAAAAGTTCTTTTTATAATTGTTTTTTTTTGCATTTTCTTAAATATGATTCTAAAAAAAATTTTAAATATTAAATTAATATTAAGTTTTTAAAATTAATAATTAGTCATTCTAATTTCCTCGCACTCCGTTCTTAAATGTATTCGATATCACAAGGTTTAGAATTATTTGATTAAAAACCCCATCGGTAGCATACAATCTAAAGTTCAATGATCTGCCACACATTTTCGTCCAGGTTCGGCTCTCATTTACCTGATCACAGGTACTTTATCTCCCAATTTCTTAATGAATGTAGCAGTCTTAAACTAATTTTAATGGGCTAGTTTATTATATAATATGATTAAAAATTTAATTTTGTGTTTATATCAGGAAACTTCGGACGATATCGCTGCATTAAAAGTAGGTCAAAATAGAGTTGCAAGCTTTGCTAAATAAAAGCTTTAAGTACAAAACCCTTTACTATACTCAGATTTTAAGTGAAATAAAAATAAGTGAATTAAATTAAAGTGAGCTCCCGTAAATGTTCTTATATATTTCTTAATAACTTAAAAAAAAGGGGGGGGGGGGGGGCATTTCCAGTGCAATCGGGCAATAGAAATATTTAAATTTTAAAAATAATGAAATCACGTAGAAAAGGTTACTTACCTAATGAACTCAATTAGTGTATATCAGAAAAGAAAATTATAAATTTTTAAAGGAAACATTGATTATTTAAAAAAAAAATTATCAGCGAATTAATTTACATGTCGCAATAAATTGTCATAGAGTCTTGACCTACGTGGAAAGTTTGAAAGAAATCCGTTTGATTGAATTAGTCGAAATTTTGCTCAGAAGTTGATACAGAAGTCTTGCCACCCCAGACGGAAAAACACAGAGACATTAAGTTAACATTTTTTTATGGTTTTTGAGAAATCGAAACAAGTATAAAGTACTACTTCCGGTCACTGAAAATCACTCACAATTTGAAAGAAACCATTAAATAGATCTTAGTTAAACACTCTAAGAGAATGCACTGTGACATAAAATGTGACTTAATTAAATGTTTAATTAACTTTTTAAGGCAATTATTGTTTATCAATCAGCAATTTTCCGCTCTATTATACACAATTTGGTTTCTTTCTTGGCGTGCAATTCGATTTTCTACGCGAATCTATCCCATTAAAAATCGTCTAAAGTGAAAAAAAATCTTTTATGGATGATCCCTAGTTTTCACATCTTTTGTTTCCTCCAGCGATGTATATGTAGTGACTGTGGTGCGAATTATTCAAATATCCACGAAAATAATTGGCAAGGCTGTTTAGTAACATTATTTAGGAAATTACTAGTGTTTGGTAGTTATGTCCTCTTCTTTATCTTCGCTGTGATGATCTGTGTTTTGTAATTTTAGAAATAAAATGCGTCGACCATAAAATGCAAACCAGCATATTTCATATTGTCCTCGGTGCCTCTCTCATAAAACCCATGTAAATAGCAAGAGCACTTAAATCGAATACAATAAACAAACAAACAAATACACAGATAAACAAAACAAAAAGTAACAAACAAACGAACCAACAAACAAACAAAAATCAAATAGTCGAAGGAATACAACAAATAAACAAATGAAAGTGTAAACGAATAAAAGAATGAACAAATGAACGAATAAACGAATGACCGAATGCACTAATGAATGAACAAACGAATGAACGAACGCACGAACGAACGAACGAACGAACGAACGAACGAATGAACGATCGAGCGAACGAGCGGATTACCGAATTAACGAATGAACTAATTCAAGAATTAACGAGTTAACGAATGAACGAATGAACGAACAAATGAATAAACGAACAAATCAACGAATAAACGAATAAAAAAATGAACGAATGAACGATCGAGCGAATGAGCGAAAGAATAAACGAACGAATGAATGAACGACTAAAGAATACACGAATGAACGAACAAACTAACGAATCAACAAATGAACGAATTAACGAAATAATGAAATAAGGAATGAACGAGCGAAAGAACGAACGGATGAACAAACGAACGATCAAACGAACGAACGAACGAACAAACGAACGAACGAACGAACGAATGAACGAACGAACGAATGAACGAACGAACGAACAAACGAAAAAACGAACGAACGCACGAATGAACGAACCCACGAACGAATAATTGAACAAACGAAAGAACGAACGAACCAACGAACGAATGAACGAATAAGCGAATGAACGGTCGCCTGAATGAGCGAATTAATAGATGAACGAATGAACAAATTACACATGAACATGTGAACATATAAACAAATTATCAAATGAAGAAATGAAAAAAGAAAAATTGATCAAATGAACTAATGACGAAATGAGCAAAAAAAAAAAAAAGTAAGGTTAAAATAAATAAATACATAAAATAAATGTTAATAAACCGGGAGTGATCTCCCCTAAACTTTCTCGAATATTCTTATATAACTCGGAATATAGACATGATTTTTAATTACTTAAACTTTTAAAAATAGAATAGAATTTCGTAGAAAAAAGAATTGCGCACCAATCGAACGCCAAAAGAAAATGTGCATAATAGTGCGGAATATTATTTGTACTTTTTAAATTTACATGCGTTTTTTGAGAAATAGGAAATAGCGTAAATTACTACTTCCGGTCAACAGAAATTACTCAAAATTTGACAGAAAGTAGAGAATTAGATCTTTTACTCACATGTGAAATTTCATTCATCTATCTGAAATAGTACTCAAGTTATAGGCTTTTTAAAAATTCAAAGTAGAAAAAGTACCACTTCCGGTTATCGGAAATCGCTCAAAAGTTGATACGGATCAACGATTTTGATAAAATACTTATATGTGAAATTTCATCAACCTAGATTTAACGGTACTCAAGTAATCGTGTTTACACACAGACACACAGACACACACATACACACACACACAGACACACAGACATACGGACAAGATTGCAAAATTATGTTTTTCCGTATCAGTGAGGTGTAAAACGTCGAGATTTGTAAAAATCTTGATTTTTTTTTGCACGATTACAATACTTTCTCTATACTTCGTATATACGAGAAAGTAAAAATAAGCAGAAACGCAATTGCAAGCATAAACGAAAAGAAAGATGCAAAAAAATATGCGATCTCAAACATAAATGTGTATATAACCAAAAACTTTGACGTAAACATGAACGCAAACAATAACGCATACGGAAACACTAAGGTAAACGTAACCACAAACACAAACATAAACGCAAGGATAATCATAACATAAACATAAAAGCAAACATAATAACATAAACACAGACAGAAATGCAAACATAAACGTAAATATAGAGAAAATTTTTAGGAGTGACTTCTAAACTGTTATTGTTTAAAAATAATGTATAGTATTCAGTATATTCAGTATATAAAATACACAAAAGGTATTATTTTTACCTACCACATTGCAATATATCAATCTAGGTTAATTATATAATGTTTACCAACATACAAAAATAAATAGTCTTCTATCAGTGGAAGTAATTGACACAAATGAATGTCATTTGTATAATTTTTTCAGAAAAATTAATGTTTTTGTGATGTGATTAATGTTTTTCGTCAATCAAAATGTTGAATTGTAAAATGAAATAAATTTTAAAATGATCAATATTGATTTCTCTAGAGATCAATTTAGATTTTATTACAAAAATGAACACTTTAAATAAAAAGATTACACAATGGTATAGAATTCGAGTTCTTTACTACAAGCATGTCATCCACAAGTCCGGAACATACATACTGAGAACCATAATCCATTTGAGATTTATTTATAAGATGGTGGCGCAATTCCAAACAAATTGAAAACATAAGAACACATGTGAACTATAGTCGATATTGTCAAATAATTAAAATTATTGCAGATACATGTACAGTCAGTGGTGACATGACAACATGTAGTGAATTTATATATATATATATATATATATATATATATATATATATATATATATATATATATATATATATATATATATATATTTATATATATATATATATATATATATATCACAACGCTTTGTGGTTTAGTTTTACTTACGGCCCTAAAAATCAAAGCAGTCCCCATAGTTTCATAAAATTCATTAAATAAAGCAATAGTTTCTAAAATCTCAAGTTTTATTTTCAATCCATTTACGACTGGAAATTTAGCATAAATAACACAAGTCATTTATTTTAGGTTATCAGCATGCTCATAAACCGTGTATACGAAGGTGGAATAATAAAATAATGGTTAACTAAATGATGAACAAAAAAACAGGTCCATTGATTGACCTTCAGCAGAAAGGTCACGCCGCGGACGAATTGTGCTTGCTTGTCAATGGAATTTTGGGCCATTATGCATACTAAATCTTGTCACGAGTGGCTTAGTGACATCTGACATGTACGAAGTTTGTGTGGCATGCAATATCACTAGGGTGTCTGACTTTTAAAATGCCACATTTGTATGTCAGCAGTGGCTTTGACATGCTGTCAAATATCTTGAAACGTTACTAAATATTTTGTTGTCGTTAATGAGCTCTACATCAACTACTCTACATTACAAGAAACTAGCAAAACAACAACAACAACAACCAAAAAGAACAACAAAATCAACAACAATGTACAGAAAGTATATAGTATTCTAGAGGACCCGTCACGTGCGTTACTGCGATCCCAGAAGAAAAGAAATTCAAGGAAACGCGTTACGATAACATTCAGTTGATACCGATGATGTATAGAATCGAGAACTAACTTTAGTCGAGCGCGCTGGGATGGCTGCGTTGTAGTTCTGCACATCACATTTTATAAAGCTTCCATCTGCACGGTTATGAATCGTGCATTTTAAAAACTGACTGAAGTACTTAATTGTAAAACCGCCGGAGCTATACTAGTAATAGTATATGGCACTATTTATAGCGAACGTAGGTGCCATAGTGCTCTCGTGAGAGACATTTTCCCTGATCACCCTGATGACGATGGGGGGGGGGGGGGGGGGGGGAAGAAGAGCAGCAGATGCAACTTTTTATGCAGTTTTATCTTTAAATTAAGACTAACTATTATCCTTGACCCTGTGTAGGACGCCCATTCAACGGCAAGTTTACATTAGACTGGGTTTTTAGATAAGAAAAACATCGAAAGGTTTAACTTAAGTTTAACTTAAGGAAAACATTGTTTGGCTTCTAAAGTGAATAGGGATAGTCCTATAAATAGTCCTATATATGTGATTATTTATTTTATCATAGCAGATCTAGCTAAAACAGTTCTTGTGAGAAACATTGGTTTGTTTACATTAGACTGGGTTTTTAGATAAGAAAAACATCGAAAGTTGCTAAGCAGGTTGTGTTTAATTTTAATTCATTAGTATGTAAGGAGTTTTGGGGGGTGTTACATTTTGATTGTAATGAAGAGTAGAATAAGTATAAGTGAGACACTAGCTTAGATTTTTTGGCCGTCTACTATATGCATTAATATATATATATATATATATATATATATATATATATATATATATATATATATATATATATATATATATATATATATATATATATATATATATATATGTATATATATATATATATATATATATATATATATAGGTTGATAAAATTTCAAATATATATCTATTATATGAAATTTGTAGTTCTGTAACAACTTTTCAGCGATTTTCGATAACCGGAAGAGGAACGTATTTACTTTCAATTTATCAAAAGCCTATGACTTGAGTATTATTTCAGATAGATAAATCAAATTTCACATGTAAGTAAAAGATCTAATTTTCGGTGAGCGGACCTTTGACCACAGGTGCTTTGACCATAGGGGGTGGTGACCATAGGGGTTTTGACCACAGCGGGGCTTTGACCATAGGGGGTTTGACCATAGGGGGTTTGACCATAGGGGGTTTGACCATAGGGGGTTTGACCACAGCGGGGCTTTGACCAAAGCGGTGCTAATAATCTTTTTTCTACGAGATTCTATTCTATTTTTAAAAGTTCAAGTAATTAAAAATCATGTCTATATTTCGAGATATATAAGAATATTCGAGAAAGTTTAGGGCAGATCACTCCCGGTTTATTTGTTTTTGTTGTTTGTATGTTTTTTATTTTGTGTTGCCAAACGCGTTTATTTAATTAATCTCCGAAAAAAGCGCCAATATCCTTAAAATGGTAGTTGCGCCCCCCCCCCCCTCCTTGCTCCCCCTGTGTACGTTACTGTACAATGCATACTATAGAAGAGAATATTTAGGCGAACTCTTAATTGCGCCCCAGTCTGCGGCCCTGTCAACGTCTCCCACTTCTTGATCCGGCCATCGATTGTGTGCCATCGTGTCAGTTTTACAGCTTTTAAACTTTATCAGAGGTATAAAACAATAAATAGAAACCACCAGTAAAATTGACAAATCTCTGTAACTGTGTAATTAAATAAATAGTTAAGCATTTAAAAAAAAATACAAGATTGGAAAATAAAAAGCTTTATTTTCTTCAGTATGAATGGGAGGTAACGTATATTTGTTCTGGATGAAAAATTTGGATGCTGTATGTTAGAGAACATAGTTTGAATAGAAGGCATGGATCTGTATGTCAAAAGAAGATTTTATGTGATATAATGAGGATAAAGTGTGTAAGTAATGAGAGGGGATTGTGTAGTGAGAGTGTTGAGTGTTGCGAGTCGCATTATTTAGCGTGTTGTATGTGTAATGAGCTAGTATGTGCTGGTATGCTTGGGCTTTCGTATTTAGTCTGTTGTGTGTATTATGTGTTATTGTTTAGTGTGCACCATGCAGTGTTTGATGTGTAACAAATCGTGTTTGGTGTGTAGAGTATTTTTTCTTTGTGTTGTTAAGTCTATTTTATAATATATAATGTAAAATGTGACATGTAGTGGGGGTATATTCTGTGTAGTATGTAGTGTGTAATGTGTTGTGTGCGGTGTGTAGTATGAGGTTATGTGTAATTCTACATTATACACGTATAACAGCCTGGCTATACTTAGAAAGACATACATTTTCCTAGAAATACCCAGCTATCTCTTAAGTGACAATTCACTTGATTCCCACATGACGTAAGCAGCCCCCCCCCCCCCCCCAACCCCTTACCATATCCCTGTCGTCTAATCGCAAGAGACGCCGAACGTCAACCACGTTTGGATTTGTGGGGATTAGTGGGGATTAGTGGGGAGTAATGGAGATTTGAGGGGAGTGATAACAGCTACCCGAATCTTTGAATCTAGGGTTAGCCCAATCGCACTTTTGTAATACCGTAGGCGATTTAAAGCCTGTAATGACACATCTTTTAATGGTATAATCTCTAAAAAAGGGATCGCCTGTTTATGACTGAAGATATGGACATAACATTAGCAACAATTGATTCTGGGCGTAATTTCACATTTCTATCTGAATATATAGCAATATAAGAGGGGTTTAACTGCCGGCTAGTGTACTGACCAATTGAACTTGCATATTTTATCAGGCGGGTTAGAGTTGATTTCCAGGTTGAAATTACCAATTAAAATGCACAACATGCTGTCTTTTGATCTGTTTTATTCACTTTCTAAGGTCTAAACACATATTACTTATTAAATAAGTTAACAATTTATTATACTTATCAGATATTTATTTTCTAAAATTAGTTGTACTTGAGTCAAGTAGCTATGAGGGATAGGTCACATTATGTCTCACCCCCCCCCTCCCTTACCTGCCCTCATATGTAACAAATGATAAAGACACACCTGCGTACCTATACAGCTTAGGTAATGTTGAGTTCAAGCGCCATGAGAAGTTTTTTTTTTATCACCGTACATGTCAGCTACTTCCTACGTCAGAGCAACGAATACCACCCTGCGTCTACACAAATCACAGATAAGGTTGACGTGAAGTTTGCTCTCAGCGTTGATTTGTTTGTTTAGAGAACATATCTGAGTAACAGCGTTTGTAAGTGTCACTGGTTTATGTAATTGGATGTCTAGTAATACTTTGACTAATGTATTATTTTTTTGGGATATATGGATATATGAATACATGGATATATGGATATATGGATATATGGATATATGGATATATGGATATATGGATATATGGATATATGGATATATGGATATATGGATATATGGATATATGGATATATGGATATATATATATATATATATATATATATATATATATATATATATATATATATATATATATATATATATATATATAAAGCAATGTATGTCTGTGTGTCTGTGTGTCTTTTATGCATTACTACACCTCTTATCACATCGCCGTGAAACTTCGGGAAGTTTTTGAGAATATTCCTGGGGAGGTTTCTGCGAAAAAAATTTTTCAAATTCGCAGGGGTGGCGCCCCGACAGGGCGCGATTTGTTTTTTCTCTATATATATGGTATATAAAAATAAAAGTCGATTGTGGTCTCACAACGTTCATCCGATAGCCATCAAACTTAAGGGACTTGATTAGAACACTCCAGGGAAGGGTTCTGTAAAACAATCATTTTTAATTTCGCATGGGCGGTGCCACGGGAGAGTGCAATTTTTCTTTATGTACGGTATATAGAAATAAAAGTCGATTTTGGTTTGACACCGTTCATCCGATAGGCATGAGACTTTGATGAGTTCATTAGAACACTCTAGGGGAGGGTTTAGCAAGGTCGGCGCCACGGGAGTTGCGATTTTTCTCTACATGTGGTATATAAAAATAATAAAAGTGAATTGCAGTGACACTGTTCACACGATCGCCATGAAACTTAGGGAAGTTGCTAAAAATATATCCGAGGAGGTTTAAGCAGAAAAAAATTCACATTCGCAGGGGTGGCGCCCCAGCAGGGCGTCATTTGTTTTTTTCTCTATATACTGTATATAAAAATAAAAGTCTATTCCGGTTTTACACCTTTCATCCGATCGCCATCAAACTTTGGGAAAGTTGATTAGAACACCCCAGGGAAGGGTTCTGTACAAAAATAATTTTTATTTTCGCAAGGGCGGCGCCACAGGAGGGTGCAATTTTTCTCTATATAAAAAATAAAAGTCGATTGCGGTTTCACGGCGTTATTCCGATCGCCATCAAACTTTGGGGAGTTGATTAGAACACTCCAGGGAAGGTTTCTGTAAAAAAAAAAATCTTTTTTTTTTAAATTTCGCATGGGCGGCGCCATGGGATGGGGGGGGGGGGATTTTCTCTATATACAGGTATATAAAAATAAAAGACGATTGCGGTTCGACACAGTGTATCCGGGTGCCATAAAAACTTTAGGGAGTTGATGAATACTCCCGAGAAGGTTTCTGGGGTTGGACGGGGGGTGAGTGGTGGTGGGAGGGGGGATTTAATTTTGCATGGGCGGCCCCCGGCACGGTGCGATTTAGCGCCCTGGTCTTTCCCGAGAGTGCTATGGCGACTACGTTTGGTCTAAACAGTGTGAAGGACAATGGATAGGATGGGGCGTTACAAACGCTGACTAAATTGAATCAGGCGTGTCCGCCGGCACCCTGGTATGATGCAATTTGGATGCAAAAAAAAAAAAAATCAGTTTCCATCCCCAAAGGCTCAATTGGGCCGCTGAAGGCCATGTAATATGTTTTATTTTAATAATAAGAAACATTAACCAAGTTTAGATTATTAACTGGGATGTTTCATTTTGTCCGTAAAAAATCCAAAGAGTTTCGTCACTTTGCGAATGATGCTATTAGCATCTATTTTTAGACAATACAATCAGAAATTGAGATCGAGCATGTAATAATAGACCATTAGTAACGCTAACAAATTGCATCAGTCACACTGATGTTTAAAACACGTCAAATAATTTTTTTACGTGCTAAAGAAAAAAATCATGTTCATTTGTGTCACTTTAACGAATGACGCAATCTGCATTATTGTTAACAGGATGCTATTTGGCACGATGGCACCATTTAGTTTTAAGGAGCCAGGGGCCGTACGTGGCGCCTATGCGGTAGTGTAATCGAGGGGGGGGGGGGTGTGCTCCTGAGAGCGCCCCTCTACGTCCCTGACATGGGTGGTCACCGAATTGTGTTCTACCTGATTATTTCGGTGAGGGATTAACGTACACATAAGGTTTTCACGCGGTAGTGTAGGTAAACCCGTGTCCCGGTGTTTATGATCCAAGCGCAAGCATTGTTTACATTTAAATAACTCACTTTTAGAAAACAAGAATATAGGATTGGTAACGTATGGATGAAACGCTTCTTCTATCCCCGCGGCAACGCGCGGGGACGGGTACGCTAGTATATATATATATATATATATATATATATATATATATATATATATATATATATATATATATATATATATATATATATATATATATATATATATATATATATATATATATATATATATATATATATATATATATATATATATATATATATATATATATATATATATAATTGATTTAAACCAAAGCCTAAACTTCTAAACATAACTTCTACCTAGACCCACGAACATTACTAAATCTGTTTTTTTTCTTTATCTGCCTAAATAATCCCAGACTTTTCTAGTTGGGCATCTTGTCCCACTTCTCAACACAGCTAGTTTGCTTTTAAAAATCTTCGTTGTAATTAGCACAAAACAGACAAACATGATTCAATCAAATTATAAAATGAATAAAGAGCTTAACGTAACAATTATCCTGTTGTTAGCTTAAGCTCTTTATTCACGTTGATCCTGCCCAAAAGATTGTGAAGTTACAAAATAATGTTTTTTAGGCCCATCTCTGAAGAGGCGTCGCGAGGTGGAGGGCGGGGGTGCGGAACGCACCTGGTGACACCATTTAGGGGGGGGGTGACATGACACCAAGACAAAAAAAAATTGAGAGATACATAGAATAAATATGTATTTTGCCAGTTCAATAATCGTTAATTAGAGTTAAAAAGTATTTTAAGTACATAATTACGATAGCAAAGAGGAAGGGTCGGGCGACACCATGAGGGAAACATGCTAACGATAGAGAAAACAATGTCGTAACAACGACTATAGATGAACATCATTAGTATTAGATGTGAGCACTTTGAATTTTTTTACCGGGGGGGGGGGAGGACATCAACTACAAAATGTACAGAAAAAATAAGAGGGTGGGGGGTGACACCATGAAGTGACCCAACGGGTAACACCCGACCTAGCGACGCCACTGTTTGTTTATACAGTTTAAACTAACGAATTGCTTGCGGGGGGAGGAAGTCATAGACAACGTTTGGCTTGTGGTTTGATGACTTATGCGGGTACATTGAGAGTTTGGTCTAAAAAAAAACACAAAATAATCGATGTCCCACTTCTCCATATCCCATTTCTCACCCCCCCCCTCCTTCTAGATTTAACCGTTCGCTGCGTATGTTGTAGATTTTTACATATGGCATATTCAAGAAGTAGATGAGCTCTACTTCATCTTTCCCATGGAACATCTGAAACAGGAACTCCCCCTCACCTCCCCCCCCCCTTCACACGTTTATGCCTACACATTTGTTATGACTGGAATACAGAGCTTCGTCGACTTATATTTTTCCCAATATTTAGAAGATTTATGAATTCGAAAAATGTATTGTATATTTTTCTTTAAACTGCAAACTGTAGATCTAACTATTATCACATTAAAAAAAATTCACTCTTGTTTTTTTTCCCATTCGATAGGTTGTCAATACAAACAAAAAAGTTAAACATTTTAACCTTATCTTTGGTCTCAAGTCAAAGTCACAGTCACGTTTGTTTGTCTGTCATAAATTTTCCTCTTGCCTTTAGCTACTGTTACATTATATAGAACTAAATTCGCTCTTTTTGGTTTTACTGTAAAATTTAGTTTCGGGATCGTGTGTATTATATATAACATGAAAGGTCGAAAATAGAAGTTGGTAATTTTCTTGTGTAGTATGGGTTACAGTGGCGTACACTGGATACTGTAACAGGAGAGGTTTGTTATATTTCAATGTATAGATAACAATTTGTAAACTTATGTAAATTGTGGGCACCACCATGTGTATTGGGCTAAAAAAACGAAAAGATGACGATGATGTAAAGATAAATGAGTATATCTACATATTTGACACGTAAAAAAACCATGCTTGCCCCCAGCCCCCGCTTTGAGCTTTAGAAGAGATTTGAGATTTGACATAATTAATGTAGTAAAAGTTCATATTGATAAGGAGTACACACAGATAAAATGTATGTATATGTATATGCATATATATATATATATATATATATATATATATATATATATATATATATATATATATATATATATATATATATATATATATATAATGTGTTACAGACACAGGTAATTAAATAGAATAATTACAGAAACAGTTGATGAAATGAAATATAACATTGATACAAGAATGTTTTCTATCTGTAGAAAGTAAGTGACCTCTAACCCTAACAATGGTCGGACGAATTTAAATCGTCCTATGTTTCCGATAGACAAGCACATTTTGGGGAGGTGGGTGGGGGGGGGGGGGAGGGTGGGTTCCTAACTGGAATGAGTAACATAATGTCAAATAAGTTGTAGTCTGTGGTCAACCAGTCTGTCAAAGTAGTCGTTAAATGTAATATATTGGCATATTCAAGTATTAAGTTCATGGTTTTAGTAAAATTAAATGCTGTCTAATCTTGTATTCTGTAATTTCATCGCATGTGTTTTCTTTTTTCATTTAGTATTTGAACATCCTCTAGTTATGCCTTTATGGAGAGAATGGACTAGAGAGAGACATGGATATCTACTCTCGTGGAAATAATAATACAACATATTCAAATTTAAATAGTGCACGTACTGATTAATGATATTGAGAGATACAATTAGATGTGCACCGAATGTTTTATTTTTTATCATCGTGGATTGGCGGATTGACAGTAATGGATTCCCAATACAAGCATTTTGAATCTGAGGTTAATTTAGGTGGTAGGCTGAATTCATCTCTTGTGGTTATACGGGTACGGCAATACTACGTCAAAATGAATTCTTTAAATACAATTTTTTTTCTAATTGGTTTAGAAAAGCTCCAGCTCAACTTTCTTATTCTTCTTATTTTTTTAACTCGAAACTTAATTCACGAAAACTTAATCGTAAACAGAGTTTCTTCCAGGCATCTCGCTATACCACCCTCCCCGCGAACGAAATATAATTTACATAGAAAACAAATACTTTTACCACTGTCCGCCGACCCCACATAAATATCAAGTGACCCCCCCCCCCCCCCTCCCACGGAAAAAAGTCTGGAAGAAATAATGATTGTAAACACTCGCAGTTGATGTAATAGAACGATATATATATATATATATATATATATATATATATATATATATATATATATATATATATATATATATATATATATATATATGTGTGTGTGTGTGTGTGTATGTTTAGCACGTCAATGGCTAAGCCACAGAGAAAGTATGGCGAAGGAATCGAACAATTTTACATAAAGCACTCGTCTGTTGTCTAAGTTATTATTTTTTGTAAAACCTTTGCCATTTGTAAAGGTTGGATGAATCATACAAGCTCACTAGTTCACAGGTAAGTTTCAATCTATGAATCTATGCCACCTTACTATTTCGTCATCGCTCGCAGATACAATTGAAACATTGACTTGCTTCTAGACCTGTAATATATGATATACATTGCATAGTGCACTTAAATATTGATTTGACTGTAACCTTGTGTTTGATGCACATGGTATAGTACTTTTAAATATTGATTTCATTTTAGACTTGTATTTGCTATTCATGGTATAGTACCTTAAAAAATTCATTTCTTTTTAGACTTGTAGTTGCTACACATGTTAATTGTTAAAACATTAAAATATTAATTTGATTTAAGATTTGTAATACATGTTTATAATATCATGCACTAAAACACTCACACCACTATAGGCTTGTTTTGCTACACAAGTTATAGTACACTAAAACATCGACTTTAGACTTGTATTTGCTAAACAAGTTATAGTACACTAAAACATTGATTTGACTATAGTCTTGTATATTATGCACATGGTATAGTACACTTAAATATTGATTTCATTTTAGACTTGTATTTGGTACTTATGCTATATCAAATTAAAGCATTGATTTGATATTTGTAACATGTTACATATAGTAAAGTGCAATATAACATTGATTTGAATTTAAATTGGTAATATGCTGCACAAGATATAGTTACACTAACAGTCTAACACATGATTTAAATGTAGACTTGTTGCTGGTAGTATAGTACATATACTAAAACATGCTTTGAATGTAGTCTTGTACTTGCTGCTGGTAGTATAATATAATACACATTAAAACATAGATTTGAGTGTAGACTTGTATTTACTGCTCATCCTGTAATACACCAGCACGTTGACGCTAGAGCTCAACGTTTCAGTTAAAAACGACATCTCGTACAACAAGAGCGCCACGTCAAAATACTCCCCGTACACCGACATCCCGGGTACGAACCCAACCGTCGACAAGGTCGCCGACGTCGGCGCCAGACAGGCGATGAAGATGACGGACACAACCACCAGCATCACGGCGACTTTTTTCTCTTTGTTGGAGATGTTCTTGTCTGACGTCATGGATTTCCTCGTTTTTCCAATTTGTTGTAGTTGTATTCCAGTGATGGTGGTGCAGGCGATGATGGTGGTGAAGGTTACTGATGGTATTAACAAGTCTGTGACTATAAACGATACATGACTGACGTCGTATGGGTTGATACGCGCATACGAACCCAGCACTGTCATGTTCGTTGTGGGGTCAGTTATCCAGCTCAGGTAAAACACGAAATACGTTGGAAACAAAACAGGTAGCATTACGATGTAGATCCCAACATTAAACATTAAAGCGACTTTACACGTTATAATTTGTTTGACTTTTAAAGGGACTAAAACACACATACATCTTTCAAAAGCTGCGAATGCTGTTATACACCCACACACCCTTATGAAATATGTGTGGGGGTTTAAACCAAGTAGTACAACCAAGTCGATTTCTACGAAAGGTAAACGGGCGAGTCGTAGTAGCTTTAAGCAACTAACAACAGCATAAGCCAGCAAAGCTCCGATGTCGCTGATGGCTAAAGCTGTTAGCGTGACGTTCACACTCTCCTCGTAGCCTTGTTTATAGAACACAAGTATGTTGAGGATATTCCCGATTATACCGGGAATTCCCATTGATTCACAAATAGCAATGTTGATATACTTTATGTGTTCCATTACATACGGGTGGATTAAAAACTTTGGACGGCTCTCCATTGCCATTTGTGTAAGCTGATCTTAAAGCAAGGCAAAAAAAGCTTATTTAACTGGAGGCGTTATTTTGTTATCTAACTTCTGCTTCTCTATTTTAAAAACAGCGAATACAATTAAATCTTACTTATCTAGAAATAGGGTATACTTATGAAATGTTATGCTGTTAAATATTTATATAAATGGAATATTTGTTTTTAACATATGGAAATACCAACAAACCCAATTAGTTGGATTCAAATCCTTATCATAAAGAGATTCCTACCCTAGTTGTTTATTACTTTAAAAAATATTTCAGTCAGGTGGAATGACAAAGCTCTAATTACCCTCAAAGACATTTTAAAAAAGATAATTAAACATCGTAGTTGAACAAAAAATTTACTTATCGCAAATAGTCTTTAAGTGGTTAAACTAAATATATATTGAAAAAAAAGAAGATTAAGAGAAACCCGAAAAAAACGCGATAAAAACGAAAAAGGAAAAAGTTTTAATTAATAAATCTTAGCTAGGATAATTGCATGCTCTACAGGCAAAGAAGAAAGAAACTACGACAGTGTTTCATTATTTTTGTTTTTGTTTTAAATAAAAGCCCAGCTTTAATTAGCACGTGCCTTCGTCCATCGATTTCCCGCTCAGACGTCTAATTAAGAAGGTGACTAAGCGAAAAATGTAGGCCTACGTCACCTACCCTTACTAGTCATTTTAATTATTGAACTTTCCACTGTAACGCAATTATTTTTTTTTTCGTAGATTGTTAGTAAGATATTATAATTGAATTCTTGGGCCAAACAACAGATAGTTTTAACCTGTAAGTATTTTACAATTTAATTTTAAATTTACATAAATTCCATAGAGTACATGGATTATAATATAGACTCGTTTAATCGCACTTACGTTTTTTGTTTGCCGTTTTTGTTTATTTATTTACTTTATCTTTTATCACGTGAATCTAACCCATAAATTCATTTCCTTTGTCTTCAAGATGTAAATCTAAATAATAAATTTCTTTACTTTGTCTTTCATGATGTAAATCTAACCCATAAATTAATTTACTTTGCCTTTCATGATATGAATCTAACCCATAAATTCGTTTTCTTTGTCTATCATAAAGTGAATCTAACCCATATATTCATGTACTTGGTCTTTTAGAAGTCTTCGATGAAGTTTTGGCAGATTGTTTTTGATCATCGGAAATATGTTTTTTTTTCAAAAATATTTTACTGTTTGCTTGTGTTTATTGAACGAACCTGTTACATGTAGAGCTTTTGGTTCTTCACTGAGAAAGATGCAGACTGATTGTGTAAGAGATATAAACAATATCAGATGAACACATTACTAGTAATCTATCCGGAGACTGGCGTTAGGGACAGGTTAGGCTACTGTAAAATATTTAACAGTGAAGCCCCATAATGACATAGTGAAAATATTCGTCTGACTGGTATAGACGCCCCATAATGACATATAGACGCCCCATAATGACATAGTCATAAGTCATCTGACAGTGAAACAGACTCGTGGGCATCTCGTGCTAGTGACTGCTAGGGAATGGACACTTTTGTCCATTTAATGGCCAGCATAACCCCAGCCTATAAACCGGGTACTGATGACATTTAGTCAAGCCAAACGCCCGGGATACAACGACCATTTTTACTCGTCTTATGTAAAGGAGTTTTGATTTATTTTATTTTTATATTTTCAGTTACTAACCATTCAATCTCATTTGCATTACATATTTATACACTGTCTTTCATAAATAAGATTTTAGATGACCGATGTTAATAAATATTTCGTTGTAAAAAATAATTTTATTTTAATGTATCGAGTTCGAATCCAGGTTCGTGTAAGTAGAGCGTCCCTAAATCCAACTGACTCACGTTAAGGAAAGTAAAGGCGAGTAGGCATAGTACTGACCGCATTATCTCTGCATAATATGCCCAGGTCAACTAAATCAGGTGAAATCTATTTCACCTGCCACATAGACTCCTCTTTATTTGCTTTTTTACGCCACTAATAATTCATATTTTAAATTTCTTAAGTATAATACTACGTTAATTTTTTAATAGTCTAGGTTCACTCGTACATATGTGATTGAACTGTAATAACAACACAGTTCAAAGAGGTAAACCTTTAAACATAATTTTATTCTTGAAACAAAATCACAGTTTTAATTTCAACACACAACAAACGGTACAGTGATTATCCTAAAGACATAATCCGGTTCAAATGTTACACTTACAAAGTTACGCCTAACAACTGAACGGCTTATTTGTTTTGTTTACCTAAATGGCGTGTCTATTGTTTATGTTAACGAAGGATGCTATTCTATGTCTCACATCACAGTCGCTTTTAAAGCTTTAACTTAAACATGGATCTGATGGTGTACTTGTATCTACTGCTCATGCTGTAGTACACCAGCAGGTTGACGCTGGACGTCAGGGTTTCCGTCAGATACGACAACTCATACAGCAACAAACCCACGTCGAAATAGTTCCCATTGACAGACAGCTCTGGCATGATTCCAACAGCCGTGCGCGTCGCTGCAGTCGGCATCAGACAGGCGATGAAGATGACGGACACGATGACCAGCATGATGACCAGCTTCTTTTCTTTGGTGGAGATGTTGTTTCGTGTGGAGATGGATTTCCTTAGCGCTCCAACGTGTTTGAGTTGTATACCGGTGATGGTGGTGCAGGCGATGATGGTGGCGAAGGTAACTGATGGTATCATCATGTCCGTGACTATGAACGATACGGTGCTGACGTCAGATGGGTTGACCCGTGCTGCTGAAGTAAGAACGGTCAAGTTCGTGGAGGGGTCGGTAACCCAGGTAAGGTAAAAAACGAAATAAGTTGGAAACATAACAGGTAACATCACGATGTAGATCCCAACATTAAACACTAACGCGACTTTACACGTTATAATTTGTTTGACTTTTAAAGGGACTAAAACACACATACATCTTTCAAAAGATGCGAATGCTGTTATACACCCACACACTCTTATAAAATATGCATGTGGGTTATTACCCAGTAGAACCACTAAATCAGTTTCTGTGAACGGTAGACGCGCAAGGTTCAAAAGTTTTATACCGCTAACAACAACATAGGCGAGTAAAGCTCCAATGTCGCTGATGGCTAAAGCTGTTAGCGTGACGTTCACACTCTCCTCATAGCCTTGTTTATAGAACACAAGTATGTTGAGGATATTCCCGATTATACCGGGAATTCCCATAGACTGGCATATTAAAATGTTTAAATATTTTACATAATCCATTATAGTGGGCGAGATTAAATTTTTTCTTCCCATAGTATTTCCACAATTTGGTACTGATAGATCTATTCTATCTGTTAATTTAACGCTGCACAAATGCCATCAGAAGCATTATCCTTATCCTTATTCATTTTGTAAAACGTCCCACAACTTTTAAAAGTCTCATGTATTAAACAATGTCTCTGGTCTTTAGTACGAACACATTTAGACTGAGTTTTGAATGTGTGTTAAAATTGAAAATATGAATGCAGCCATAAATTCTTAGAGCTCAGACATCGTTGTTTCGACTAAATAAATTATTTAGAATTGTTACAGTTAACATTTAAAACAAAATAAACATGGATGCTCAAACCCACTACTGTGTATTAAAATAACCGTTTTGGTGTAATCAATACAAGAAAATAAAATATTTTATTTTGTTTGTTGTTTATTCTAGACCACGAGATTCATGTTTAAAATTGTACCCTTACAGGAAATTAATTCGAGGAAATTACGGCATTTATAAATTAAATTTTTATTTACTTGCAAAGAAAAAGGTTTTTAAAACAATTACAAATAGTGATTTGTGTTAACCGTTCTATTTTTTAAATCCATGATCTTTTCATTTTTAATGTTTTCTACATTGAATCATCCTTGTCGAAGTCTATACTGAAATGACAACATTTAACGAAAATTATAGTATGAGATTTCTCTTCATTCGCAACTATCTACAGAGGCTTGTAATTTCAACCAGACGAGATAGTCATTATTTACAGTAGCTTGTAATTTTACAGACGACATACTTAAATTTAAAAAAAAAGAAATTACCTAGATTCTAGCACTTTAATGTTGTTGTTTTTTAACTACGTCTAATTTTGCCTGTGAGAAAAAAACAAGCTGTACTGAGATCAGCTAACCGTTCTTAAAACTCGTTTTTAAAACTTATTTCAGTTCTGTTACTAAAAGCGCCTGTTATATGCCATAAACTTGCTATCATTGTATTGCACAGTTTAAACGTTTTGAAAGTATTGTTTAAAATGGAAATATTTGTCAGTTAAAACATATAGCTTTTGTCGTTAAACTAAAAAAAGTACATTGTTTTCATGAGTTTAAACTATAACGTATAAAACTATTTACTTTTGTTAAACTTCGAATTTTAGTGCATTCTGTGACGTTAGCTGTAATGTCGGTGGCGTAATCATTCAAAACCGATACAGCACAAAGTGGTGTGCTATCAATGTTAACATAAGGTTGCCAGGAGAAACATTTGGTTGCTAAGGAACACTAATTTACCCGGAGACTGATTCAATGATTTTTGCATATTTTAGAGCAAGAAATTCCTAAAAATATTTCTAGATTTAAATTTCATTATTATTTTTAAAAGCACAAAAACAACAAATAATAATCATGTGTATTTATAGTAATTAAAATGAAGACAGTAAAATGGCATTAAAACTAGATTAAAATAATTATTAGGGGATGCAACTTTGCCGCTTCCGACGGCTTAGTTCACTGTTGCCCCATCATCATCTGTGAAGCCAATAGTTGACATTGTGGCGACCCATGGCCAGACACAAAAACGACCGTGGGAAAATGTTTGCTGCAATACTGATCTAGAGTTCCGTGTATCCTTAATTTTCCATGACCCAAAAAAAAAACAGTTGCATACCACTGTTATCAGATTAAATGTGCCGATATATTTTTTTTAAAGAAAAATGTTTTTTTTTTGTTAGCTCTTTTAGATTGGGTAATTACTAAATTGGTGTTAGAAAATAAAAGTAAAAAAAAGAAGATACGCTGGTACATAAATATGTAGGCCTACATCTTATAGTTATGTACTTTTATGCTTTGCTCTGTGTGCTATTACTGATATATATCTTGTGATTAGTTTTATGCTTTGACCAAATTAGGCTAGGTGTCCATTGGCGCTTGTTGAACTATGGGCGTCATAAAGACTGAAGTCGGGATCTGAACTTAGGACTTACGACATAGCATCGTGCGCTCTACAACGTGACCAAGCCCACTTTAAACAAACATTTCATAAATATTTTTCTAAATTAGTAGTGGCGTGTATTTTAGATAAAAATTAAATTAAACGATTAAACATTCACAACATATTTATAATACATAATACAAAACTATCGAAAGAAAATTATTCATAAACTAAGTTGGATTAATATAAAAATTTTCAAATAGCAATTCCAAATATGTATTAGGCAGTCCTAGCTTAGAAATGCTTCCATGAATTTATTTTCAATGAACTAGTGTTTCTACCAGTTTTTGAGAAAGGCCTATATATTTTCATTCATCTCTTAAACCTTATTTTGGTCGTCTACATATTTTCTTTGTGCAAAGATTCAATGACAATCATAGGCAGTTTGAGATGAAAGTAAATCTTCTTTTTACTTCATTCTCCCATTATTTTGTTTATTTTTTAACATTTTTGTCTTTGCTCACTTTAAAAATAAATAAAAAATTCTTTGACTCATCTAGAATCAACATGTGATTAGACCACAAAATATTACGTAACATTGCAGCACAGTAACATAAACATATAAAAAATAAATTCCATCCATAAATGTCGACCAAAACATAAATAAACATATTATAGCATATTCACACAAACTAATACACTTTACAGCAATACATGACAAAGTGAAACTTATCAACCACGACCCATGCTTCTGATAAATTATACATTGTTTTCACAATAATCTTTTTTAAACCAAAAATATTTGTAAACAATTATTTTGATGATTTGATGACATGTAATGCAATATAGAAAAAAAAACGCCTAAAAAAACAATAGAAAATTAAATAACCTCTATACATCTATCTATCTATATACTAATAAAACTCAAGTTTGTTTACATGTTTGAATAATTTTTTTTTTTTTTTTTTTTTTTTTTTTTTTTGCTTTTCTGTAGAGAACAATTTTTGTTTTTAAACAGACTGAAATCACAAATTAATTTAAAGACGTTAATTAATTTATTGATATATTCATTGGTAGATTAACCACGCTAATTAAAAAATAATTTCAGAACAATGACTTTATAATGACTTCACATGATTTATTTACTTTTTATAACAAAAAGAGCGGCTTCCATACAAGATTTTGTTGCCCATTCAAAAGTATAACGCATTATATAGCTAATTTTCTGTCGGCTATAGCTTTAACGATACGTCCGTTTGCTATTTTTATTACGTTCCAACACTAATATAAATTTTTAACAGTCCTTTTCATTTAAGTTAAAGTATACAATAAACTTCTCTAGATCTAGAATCTAAAGATCAGCTGTCGAAGGAAGTTATAGATCTAGAATCTTGGTCAGACCAAAATTAATTAGTTAAAAATAAAAACATTATAAAATCACAATAAATTATTGAATTTCTTTATTAAACTATTTTAGTCCTTAAATATTTGATATAAATCTTTGCTTTTTAGCTTCAAGAATAATCTAATTCAAGAATACAAGTGATTTATCTATGTAGGTTCGAGATCTAAAACTACAAGAAAACTCGACTTAACCAAACCAGTCGTAGAATCTAGATAACTCTATCTCTAGATAACAATGAGTTTCTTTACTAAACTATTTCAGACCTTCATCATTTTATATAAATCTGTGTTTGTTTAGCTATGGAATAGACTAATTTAAAATAACATTTAATTTGTAATAATACTAGATCTAGGGCCTATTCGCGTAAATCAAGTTTCTTAAGCAGACTCAAACTATTAATATACAGCACAAAAACATCATTGACGTGAAGAGCCTAGATAGCTAAGGTGTTTGTGCGGGTGACACGGGTTCTAGACACATCACGTCAATTTTTTTTTTCAAATTTTGTTTTTAGATGTGAATGATAAAGTTGCCTATCGGAACTTAGCAGGATACAGGGCAGGTGAAGTAGAATTCACCTGTTTCTTTGTCGTCAGCATATGACGTGGATAGTGTGGTTAGAGCCATGCTCGGCCGAAATCATTTTTTAAACAATTAAACATGTCTGAGGCTTGGCGTGACACTGGGCAGGTAAAGTAGAGTTGGGTAGGTGTATAGTCCGCCTGTGACGTAAGCATATGAAGAGAACGTGTGGTCAGACCTATGCTCAGCCGGAATCAATGTTTTTAAAAGACAAAAACGTCTGAGTTGTGACGTCTTTTTGAATGTGGAGTCTGGTTTTTTGAGACGATAAGTGACAGACGTGATGTTTTTTATGGATGACCCCGGAAACCCACAGTTATCCAAAGGATGACGGGTAGTCGAGTATTATATATAATAACCTCCAATCTTTGTATTTTTCTGTTGTTCTTTGGTCAGGTAACATCCATTCACGACTTTACAACGCCAATGTGCCATGTGAGTTATCTGTTTATGTAAAGATACAAAACATTATCAGCATCCTCTGCTAACTTAATGTATTGAAAATGGCTGTCACTGATTGTACTCAGAACATGTATAACCTGTTCTAGTGATTGGATGGGCTGGGCATTTTCACTTTTTTCTGCAAGGATTGTCGACTTAACTTTTTATTTATCACCCCAGTTAAAATAAAGCATTTCCTGTTGCTGAAAGGAACTTAACACTGTGTTGGACCTAGATGCAAGCAAAGTGCTTACACTGTTATTTATTTTTTTTCCCCTTGCTCCAGCAGACACTTCTCGGTATTTGTTTTTACTAAGAGTTAAGTATCTGTTACGGGTGTGCACGGATCTTATCTTAGCCATATACGATTGTCAGTCTTTTTAGACTGACTGAAGGGGTCGAGGGCGGTCACAATTCCTCAACTACTCAAGCAGTAGTTGCAACTGTGAACAGCTATCGCTGTGGGAATACGCCCACAAATCCCTCGAATTAGAGAAGAGTAACCAGGTACTTGTAGTAGTTGTACTTTGGTGACTGCACTGTACAAGCGGCTAATAACTATTCTTGATTTTTTAATCTAGACGACGCCTGCCTTGGAGCAATCTTAGATAGGATGTTCCGTCACGATACTATCGAGCTTACGATAACCTCCACAAACTCTACGATCAACTCAACATCTCGATACTTTTAAATCTCGATTACTCGACTGATTACACTCAACATAACATAATCTTAACTCCAAGAAACAAACAACTACGCAACATACTCGACTATCAACAACAAACTTCGATACAGTAGAACCACAAGTTTTGATACGCCAGAATTACGATACCACCTCACCAAGCTTTGCTCCCAGCCAACCTAGACTTAAACCAACTCAGCAGCATCTCATTCCGTTCCTTTCTAAATTCGTCAATACCGTTCAAAATCTGGATGATACTTCAAACTAATTAAAAACGGAGTTATGTCATTCAATAATGGAATTTCTAAGAAAATTACAAGATTTTTTTTCTTAAAATAGTGTGTGGGGGAGATAGCTATCATAATCATTCTTTATAAAGCTTTTGGAAACCGGCTTGCCTAGCTGAGTAGGTTTTGATCAAAATCCCTAGCTAGTAAAAGAAAATTCACGACACTGCCATTTCATATTGGAATATCCAATTGCATTTATGTAATCCACTATACATTTGCAGCATAACACCAAATTTTCAAAAGTATGCAATGCTGAGATATTAACTGTAATTTTCACCAAATCAAGCCTGGTCACATGTAACATTTAGCACAGATATAGCAGGTTTCAAATGTCTTTTACTTGGGCAGATGAGGCTCGTTAGCTGGGGAAAGCCACTCTTCTAGGAGAGACAACTCCAAAATCAAACATCTGCTGCCTTGTTCTTGTTGGACAAAGGGTATGTAAGCAAATCCAAAAAGAAAAGCAGGCTGAAATTGAAGTCAACGGCCTCAACGGCGTATAACCAGTTGACAAGTATACATAATTTTGGTGGAGGGAATCTCCTCCAACACTAAAATTAAGAACGAAGTAGATGAAGATATGTCATTTACCTAATTTGTTTTACTATTAAAACACAAGGGTTATCGAAAACATAAACTTTCCTGTATTGTACTGTTTGTATTTTGACACTTCTAAACCATTTTAATCAGTTGTACTTAACATTTGGTGTTTTATTCTTCACATTGGAGATGGATTTGACTGTTCTCCTGTATTTACTGCTCATCTTGTAGTACACCAGGAGATTAACGCTGGAGCTCAACGTCTCGCTCAAGCACGAGATCTCGTTAATCACCATGGCAACGTCAAAATAATCCCCAAACACCGACAGCTCTGTCACAAACGCTACGCCGGTTAGTTTGACGATGGTCGGCGCCAGACAGGCGATGAAGATGGCAGACACAACCACCAGCATCACGGCGACTTTTTTCTCCTTGTTGGAGATGTTCTTGTCTGACGTCATCGATTTCCTCGTTTTTCCAATCTGGTGTAGTTGTATCCCAGTGATGGTGGTGCAGGCGATGATGGTGGTGAAGGTTACTGATGGTAGCATCAGGTCGGTGACGTAGAACGACACGGCGTTGACGTCAGAGGGGTTGACCCGTGCATGGGCACCAAGTAACGTCATGTTTGTTGTAGGATAGGTCATCCAACCCAGGTAAAACACGAAATAGGTTGGGATGAGTATAGGTAACAAAATAATGAAAATACCAATGTTGAACCACAGCGCTACCTTGGGAGTTATAATTTGTTTTACTTTTAACGGGACTAAAACACACATACATCTTTCAAAAGCTGCGAATGCTGTTATACACGCACACACTCTTATAAAATATGCATGAGGACTATAACCAAGTAGAACCTCCATGTCGATTTCTACAAAAGGTAAATTAGCGAATCTCAACAATTGTATGATATTCACAGTTAGAAATGTAAAAAGTGATCCAATGTCGCTAATGGCTAAAGCTGTTAGCGTGACGTTCACACTCTCCTCGTAGCCTTGTTTATAGAACACAAGTATGTTGAGGATATTACCGATTATACCGGGAATTCCTATTGACTCACAAATAAAAATGTTGATATATTTAATACAGTCCATTACATACACTGGAATTAATACTTTTCTTTCCATTTCTAAGCAAAATAGCATATACAAATCTACATCCACTGAAATTATTTTCTGTAGGGTTTTAGGTTTCAAAAGCTTTTGTTTTTTTACCTCTCGTATAATTGAACAGCTAAGATTAAAACAAAAAAGAAACGCATAAAAATGCATTTAATAGGATACAACATTTTAGATTGTATATTTTTTAATAGATAATAATGCCAACTACTAATAGATTAATGACATGATTTTAAAAGCAATTGGTTAATTGATAAAACAGGATTGAAAATAATTTTGGTTTCAAAATGGTTAAAGGTACTAATATTATTGTAAAAACCTAATAAGTACGAGAGTATCAATTAATGTAATTGTGGGGTGCGCTGTCCTAAAACGTTGATGAGAACAAAGCTAAGATGATTCAGTCTAGATAATAAAAAATAAAAAGACCGTCTTTGATATTTTTCTAGAACAAAATTATTGATTTAAGTTGCTAACAGTAGATGCAGAACTATCATTAAAACTCAACGGTTTGAAATTATTTGTTTACTGATGCAAAATTATAAGGTTTTACGATCTTTCGTTGCGACAGGTTATTTCCACTGTCTAGTTATTTTCCAAATTTCTTTATATTTACAAAACATGACATTCTTTTGAAATACGGAAATATACAAAGCTTTAATCTTGTAATGTATCGTGTAACCGTTGCAAACAATTTTAAATTTTTTAAAACGTCGTAAAGCAGAATCTACATTTTGGAGTCCTGTATTTGTTCACATATATTAATACCAGAACTACATGTTTTAAAAATGTAATAATAAGTTCATCTTAAACTCGTATACATCTTTTTATTTTCAGGAAGTTTTTTATCTCAAAGGAATAGTTATTGAATCTGAAAATTTAATGTTTATAATAAAAAATTATTTTAGAGTTTAAAAAAAATAATTAGTAACGCTTTTTACTTTCTCGTATATATGAAGTATAGAAAAAGTAGAGTTCACTTGTTCCTGTGACCTCGGCATATGAAGAGATAGTGTCGTTAGCACTATGCCCAGCCGCCTTTACTTTCCCTAACATGAGTTAGGTACCCATCTGAGTTGGGTGGACCCTGAGTATATACTGACTTGAACCCGGATTCGATCTCGAGACTTACTGGTTAGCAGTCCAGCTCTCTACCGCTAGACCACTCCGTAATGAAGACAAAACATAAAAAAAATGCCACTAATTACAAGATTTTTAGCACGATTGTGTGTTATTATATACATTATTGATCTTTGTATAACGTGCAGGTTTCAATACGGATCAGATCTAAATGCTAGTCTGTGGCGTTAAATACGCCTTCTAACTTTTCAAATGTCGAATTAGCTTATTTCATAATACTTTCTTTGGCTCAAGTCAATCTTCAAAAAGATATTCGCTTGGTATATACTGAAAGCTACGAAATGTCCTGTTAGGTCCCTAGTTTTTGACTTTTTCGTATACGAACTATAGAGAAAGTATTGTAATAGTGCAAAAATCGAAATCTAGATGTCACAAATATTGAGGTTTTGCAATTTTGTCTGTATGTGTATGTGTGTGTGTGAGTGTCTGTGAATAACACGATAACTTGAGCACTGTTACAGCTAGGTTGACGAAATCTGGTTAAATTAGAGAATGTGGGAAAGCCTCTTTCTGGGCGCGGAGTCAAGGAAAGCATAATTTGATCAAGTGTTTGCGTTTACGTTTGAGTTTTAGTTTGCGTTTGTGTTTGCGTCTGTGCTTTCTTATGCGTTTGTATTTTTGTTAGCGTTTGCTTGTTGCGTTTGGGTTTGCGTAGGTGTTTTTTTTTTCGTTTGCGTTTTTGTTTGAGTTTGCGTGTGCGCTTGTTTTCATTTGTGTTTTCTTTTGTTTGCATTTGCGCTTTCGTTTATTTTTGTTTGTGATTTTTGTGTGTTAGTATTTGCGTTTGCATTTGTTTGTGTTGTGTTTTTATATGTTTGCGTTTGCGTGTTACGTTGTGTTTGTGTTTGGTTTTTGTTATATTCCAAGGTTGGTAGGCCCTAAATTAAAAAATATTCACCTTAGCGAAGCATGGGTATGCAGCTAGTACCATATTATTTCAAATAAGTTTTTTTGTTTTCAACAGAAGTGGTAACCAGAAGTGGAACTTATTTTACTTTTGGTTTTTTAAAAGTCTGTAATTTGAGTACTTTTTCTGATAGAAAGACGAAATTTCACGTATTAGAAAAATATCAAATTCTCTGTTTTCTGTCATAGTTTGAGTAATTTCTAGTGACCGGAATTAGTACTTTACGCTAATTCCGATTTCTCTAAAAACGCAAATGAATTTATTTTTAACTTGATTTCTCTTTGTATCGTCCGTCGTGGTCTGGAAATTGCGGACAAAATTTCGATAACTTCTCCCGGACCGAGTTATTTTAAACTTTTCACGTAGGTCAAAACTCGAAGACAATGTAATGTGACATAAAATGTTACTTAATTAGCAGTTCATTTAACTCTTAGAAAATTAATTAAGCTTTTCTTTATAAAGTACTAATTTCCGCACTATTATATACACATTGTGTGCTGTTCAGTTGGTGCTTAACTCTCTTTTTTTCTATTCAATTTTTTAAAAATTTGAGAATTTAAAAATTGTTAAATAAGCATGTGTATATTCCGAGTTATCATCTCTCGTAGTGTTATATAACATTATTCGAAACAGTTCATGGTAGATCAATCCAGCTTTATTTTTATTTTCGCAATTAAAAGAATCTAATATATAAAGTTCAATTCTGTATGATTGTTTGTAAAATGTTTGTAAAATGTTTGTATTCGAGGATTACAAAGGAATATAATAAAAAAAACTACACTTCGATGGATTAAAGTGTTAGATTATTAAACTGCTCATGGTCAAAATTTATGAGTTAAAAAATTACTACTGAAAGTCATTAAAAACAATTTTCATTTTATATTCTTAGAATAATAATTTTCAATTATAAACATTACATAAAATTTTTAAAAAGTGTATCAACGTTTATAAAATTTCTAAAATTGTGTCTGAAATGTTTTTGCATTTTGTGCTTTAATTCTCAAAACGTCCCTTGATTTGGAAAACACAGTTACTTCCCTTTAAAAAACCATTAAATCGAGGGACGAAAGAATTTACTTTTTATTACTTTGTTTTGGTATTAGGAAAAAAAATTATTACATAATTAGCGGGGATTGATTAGGTGCAAAGTCGTTGGTATTTTTAATACTGCCTTGTATTTATGCTATACACTGTTTACTAATTATTTTTTTAAGTCAATAACATTTAATAAGCCTTAATAAGCCAGGTCCTACAAATCCTATATGTTTATTTCTTTCCATTTACGGATAAGCTTGGAGTATTATAATTTTATTCACTAAATTGAAACAGGCGCATCCGCCGGCACCCCTGCACGGTTCGATTTGGCGCCCTGGGCTATTATGTGAGCTCTATGCTCAGTGGCGGAACTAGAAAAAATGGGCCACCCCGCAAAAAAATTTTTTGGGCCCCCCATATATGTATATATATATATATATATATATATATATATATATATATATATATATACGTGCCAGCTTAGTTGTTGAGGCGCTATCTATTCGCTTCTTGTAAGGCTAAGAGCGGGAGGGGAGGTCTGAGAATGGATCTTAAAAGGGACAACAAAGCACCGATGTGCTTTTATCCATCAGTACCAAATTTGGGATGGTCGCAAAAAGCCGTATTAATATCTAGCGGCCTCTCGCGCAATCAGAGTTTCTTCCAGGTATCTTTTCGGGGGGGCTGAGCCCCCCCCCCCCCGAAATTTTTTTACCGCCCCCCCCCCCTAACGAAATGAAATATATATATTTTATATAGAAAATATATACTTTTAGTAGTGTCCGCCCCCCCCCCGAAGAAAGTCTACCGCCCCCCCCCCCCCCCGAAAATTTCAAGTGCCCCCCCCCCCCCACGGAGAAAAAAACACTGCGCGCAATTGATGTGTTTTCAAAATAATTTTGCCGACAACAGCGTGTGTTTGATTGTAGGAAAAAGAATATAAATGAGCGTGGGATGGTGTCTATAGAATAAAGTTACTCCAACCGCAGCTACAGTATTCATTTTTTTCAAAACAACCATTAGGTAAAAAATGCAAGAAAATTAATTTTAACTATAAAAAATGATTATAGGCGGCTGTGGGCCCCCTAAACGGCGTGGGCCCCCCCGCATTGCGGGGTCTGGCGGCACTGTAGTTCCGCCCCTGTCTATGCTGCATAATTTCGTTTTAAAACAGTGCGATAGACTATGGATAAGAAAGATTGCTATAGTCTTTAAGTTAATCAAATCCGGGCGTCCTCCGGGACCCCGACAGTGTGCTATTTGGCGCCCCGGGCCTTCCCGTGTTCGCTATGGTACCTACGTTCGCGTAAGTGAGTTCAAAAGACAATGAAGAAGTTGGGTACTATAGTCGTTTACTAAGTTGAATCAGGCGGTTACGCCGCACGTAGTCATGGTGCGATTTGGCGCCCCGGGCTAGACTGTG